GTAGCCAGTCCATGCCCCTTTAAGGGGTCTGGGGCCGGGAGGGGGGCAATAGAGTTTCCCTGGTGTTGGCCAGAGTGGCCACCAGGGAAAGCTGGGGAGGGCTAGCCTCCCACTAGTTCGAATTAAGGGACTACACAGCCCTTAATTCGAACTAGTAAATTCGAACTAGGCTTAGTCCTCGTAGAATGAAGTTTACCTAGTTCGAACTAAGTGCTCCGCTCGTTCGAATTAAGTTCGAACTAGCGGAGCGCTAGTGTAGCGCCTATCAAAGTTAATTCGAACTAACGTCCGTTAGTTCAAATTAACTTTGTAGTGTAGACATACCCTAAGAGCAGTGAAAATGCCAGTCAGATAAAATCTTATATTATATTATTAAACAGCAAACATTTAGTTTTACAAATATGTAAGGCCCAATACTGACCATCTTCAGACCAGTATAAATCTAAAGTGGAATTTATTGCTGAATTGAGTTCCAAAATCTAAAATTTGATTACAAAATATAAAAGCATCTCTCTAGTCTTCTCATCTGTGAGTATAACCTTTAAAACAAGACTAAAATGTCAGCCTATGTAGGCTGACAAAAAAATAAAATATTTTTTTAGGTCTTCAGACAACCTGAAACAGTAATCCTGACAGCTGTAAACTGCCCATTTATCTCACTGAACTGTAAAATCTGATTCCATAGGATAATATTTTACATGTCATAATTGCTTATTACATTACTGACCATTTAAGCAGAAACTTACAGCTGATATGCTCATTCTATAGTATTAAACTGCATCCTATACCTTCCAGGTTCCAAAATCGTCAACTGCTCTTATAATAACTTTGCAATACACTTCTGAGTCGTCAATTAGAATATCAGTGATTTGATGAATATTTAAAATGTGAGCTCCTGCGCTGGTTGAAAACAAAAGTTTCAGTGAAGCTGGGAACTAGTCAAACATACCACATTGCCACAGAAGGACGGGTCATAGGGTTACCAGGTGTCCAGTTTTGAACCGGACAGTCCGGTATTTGAGCTTTCTGTCTGGGTAACAAATTGAGAAACATATAAATGTCCGGTATGTTCTAATTAAGTAAGTTTTATTATTATCATGAGTATCAGTACGTAGTTGCATACTGCCTGGCTGGTAGACACACTCATACTGCGTGAGCGTGTCTACCAGCCAGGCACTACGCAACTACACAGTAAGAGGAGGGGGGCAGAGCCGGGGCGGGCTGGAATCCCCGGGGCCAACTCACCTGTGTGCCCCACTGGGACCATGCGCAGGACAGGCAGCACCCTGAGATCTGCGTGCATCTGGGCCAGCCCCACTCCCTTCCCACCCACTCCCTGCT